TTGATTTCTTGGAAACTCGCGACTTTCTGCCTCCATTGCGTGCCTAACCGTTACCACTCATGAGAATAACCGCAAATATCAAAATACGGAATCTGATGTAATAATTATTCTTTAATGATTTAGGAACGCATTTTTACTTAATAACACTGTCGATTTAGTAAACTACTAAGCGGCATTATATCTGCCACAGATGGTTTCTGGTAATATTTCAGTGATGACTGTACTCCAAGTTATATTTAGTTTCAGCTCTCAAAGCATCCATTGCAGTGGCTCTCATAACGTAGTCCTGCGTTAAGGACTTGACAAGTAGGTATCTGTCCGTATGTGTGTGTGTGTGTGCCTATGTGCGTACGTGTGCGAGTGTCTGTGTGTATTTAATCGCCATCTCTGTCTCTCTCCAAACATGAATATACATACACACACATACAGTAAGTCTGCAAACATCGATTTCGACGCGAGCCTAGTCAAACACTGATAAGCATTATATTACCATCTGCACGTTTGACCATCGATTAAACTACACTTAAAGTCCAGTTTTATTATTCAATACTAATGCCATTTTCCTACCACTAACTTTGCCTAGTCAATTTCATCAGCAGAGACCGTACTTTGAAATTACAACATATTTGCAGAGATTTGGGATATATAGCTGCAAAAGTCTCTGTCGCACTCAGTCATGACCAAACCCATGTACTCTACATCCGTCTCTTTCGTGGTTTTAAGGTAAAAAATATTTACATTGTAACGATAGTCTAAAGCAGAGGTTGGTGGTTTAGTTTAGTGTTTCCAGTCGTGAAGGACTCGTTAATGGTTTCAAGGTAAAATATATTTACATTGTAGGGATAGTCTAGAGTAGAGGTCAGTAGTTTAGCACAGTGATCTCGGTCGTGAAGGTCTCCTCTATTGTTTCAGGGTAAAATAACCCGTGAAGGTCCGGGCTAGAATGAACCTTCAGTAACCAATGCTTGTCGTTAGAGGCGACTAACGGGATCGGGTGGTCAGGCTCGCCGACTTGGTGGACACATGTCATCGGTTCCCACTTGCGCAGATCGATGCTCATGTTGATCACTGGATTGTCTGGTCCAGGCTCGATTTTTTACAGACCGCCGCCATATAGCTGAAATATTGCTGAGTGCGGCGTGAAACTAAACTCACTCACTCACTCAAGGTAAAATATATTTACATTGTAACGATAGCCTGAATTAAAGGTCGGTGGTTCTAGTGTTTTCTGTCGTGAAGGTATCCTTCATTGTTTCAAGGTAAAATATATTTACTTTGTAATGATAATCTAGAGTAGCGGGTAGCCTAGTGGTTAAGGCGTTCGCTCGTCACGCCGAAGACCCGGGTTCGATTCCCTACATGGGTACAATGTGTTAAGACCATTTCTGGTGTCCCCCGCCGTGATATTGCTGGAACATTGCTAAAAGCGGCGTAAAACCAAACTCACTCACTCACTCACTCTGTAGAGTAGCGGTCGGTGGTTTAGCATAGTGTGTTCGATCTGGAAGGTCTCCTTCACTGTTTCAAGGTAAAATATATTTATACTGTAATGATAGTCTGGGGTAGAGGTCGGTGGTTCTAGTGTTTCTGTCGTGAAGGTATCCTTCGTTGTTAAAATATATTTACATTGTAATGATAGTCGAGGTCGGTCGTTTAGCAAAGTGGTTTCAGTCGTGAAGCTCCTGGTCCAGTTCTATTGGGAACAACGATTGGACCCAATTAAAGGCGATATTAAAGCGGCATAAAACAATTGTCTCTTACACATTGCCATATGTTCCGTATGAAACGGGGGCGGTGGGGTAGCCTAGTGGTTAAAGCGTTGGCTCGTCACGCCGAAAACCCGTGTTCGAATCCCCACATGGGTACAATGTGTGAAGCCCATTTCTGGTGTCCCCCGCCGTGATGTTGCTGGAATATTGCTAAAAGCGGCGTAAAACCAAACTCAGTCAGTCAGTCAGTCCGTATGAAACAGCACTCACGTATAAAGACGCAGTGTGATGCGCATTTGATTTGATCAACAGCCATGTCAGCGAGTGCGTGAGTGAATTTAGTTTTACACCGCACTCAGCAATATTCCAGCTATATGGCGGCGGTCTGTAAATAATCAATTCTGTACCAGACAATCTGTTGAGTCTACTTGGTTTATCAACTAGGTTTCTACAGTCAATTGGTCATATTTTCATCACCAGGTTGAAATATGACTATAAGGATCGGGTGGTCAGGCTCGCTGGCCTGGTACCCGTGAAGGTCCCGGTCAGAATATTGTTCTTCAGTAACCCATGCTTGTCGAAAGAGGCGACTAACTTGGTTGACCATGTCATCGGTTCCCAATTGCGAAGATCGATGCTCATGCTGTTGAATTCTTAACAGACACTTAAATATACACCAAAACGCAGTTGTTCACATGCACCATATTTGCACATGCTTTTCAGCATTTTGATGCATGATCCTCATGCAATTCATCTGCAAAAGGTGTTCAGTTGGTTCCCCCAAGTTAGGCGAATGCTGTAAGTGAGTCTAAACGTTTGATGGGTAGTATATGAAGCTTTGTAACCTATCGTGCTGACACGACAAGAAATGGCTTGCTACGCATCTGTTATATTATGTCAAACATTATCTAATTCGAGTTCGAAATATAGTGTTACATTACTAAAGCGATAATACCTGACCTGTTGGCTGCGTAAATACGTTGAAGACAATTATTTGAACAATTTTGTGATTACACCTGAAATATATCCAGAATTAATGGCTGATATAATTTCATCAACTTTTATGTCAGTTATGTCTGTGCCATGTCAGTTTTCATGGCCACTGTGTATCTAACTTTCACGCTACGACGAGGGAGAAGAGTCGCTCGCTCGCTCACTCACTCACTCACTCACTCACTCACCTCACCCACCCACCCACCCACTCACTCACTCACTCACTCACTCACTATGGTCCTATGGCTTTGTACCTTCATTTCCTGGCTCTCTACAGCGTGCTTTGTAAATTGTAATGTCTTCTATAGTTTTTTGTATTATTTTCATACTAGTTTCATATCTATAGCTGTAAAGGTTTAGTTGTTTTTGCTGTCGTTCGTTGACAAGGTGGGTTTTTTAAAACATTTTTACTAATGTACTATGAATCTAAACCTTTTTTTAGTCACGATATGGCTGAAACACTCCCGATGTGACTAAACATTCGGTTCTGAAATATATAAAGCAAACATTCCCCCTGATGGACATCTTCTATTTGGTTAAAACAAAAGAGTATTAATTTGGGGCTTTTGAAATATTACTTGGTACAAAATCAGTGACAGTCTCTTAGAGTGAGATGAAACACAAAGAATGCAGAGGCCATTCCAAAAGATCAGATAATTTATTGCTTATCAGTGGACGCTGTACGTACAAGAAGTATGTAATTTGATTCCTTAGTTTAGTGTTAAGGGTACGGTCACACTGAACCGCGACCCCATTAAGATCGTGTCACGACCATCGTGATCGTGAACTCGCAGAGGGTGTCGTTCTTTGATCGCCATTTGCGGTTACACCAAAATTGCGACTGATAACAGGAAATTCGCCAGTTTTATTGCAACCTGATTATTGCAACCTGATTATTAGTCTCATATACCTCAATCGGGTTTCAATAGAATCGCTTCTAGTTTGCGAGTCTATATGCGAGTGTGCTACGACCCAGTTGCGACCCCCGTGCAACCAAAAATAGACTTGGTACCGCACTGAGAGTGCTGTACGAGCCCTGTGGCGTTCTGACCATCGGTGATCGCTGCGAGTGTATGCGATCGAGTTACAGTTCAGTCGGGATTAGTAGGAGCAATACTAAAACATAACAACTAAAACATAATACCTAAAACTTTGCGATCATTGATGGAACCAAATGGGGAGTTTGCTACGATCAATGAGACCGAATTGAGAGGGCATTGAGACCAAAGCGATCTCAATGCGACCACATTTGAGACCTCTTGTGACATCGGTCGGACATCTTTTGCGAGTGTGTTTGACAGTCAAAAACACTCGCAAACCCCTTTCCGACCGATGGAGAGTAATTGCGGCCACAGAGACCATGCTTGAGTCTATGAAGACCGTTTTGAGACTAATTTGCGACCGTATTGCGAATATTAGCGACTGATGGCGAGTATTGGCAAATTTTCGGTCATAACTCGGTCGGAAGCCCGGTGTAACCGGGGTGTTAACGCCACACTCAGCAACATTACAGCTATATTGCGGCGGAGTTTGGACCACACAACCCAGTGATCATAAGCCTATATCTACTCAATTGGGATACGATGACATATACACAGCGAGCCTGACCACCCGACCCCGTTAATCGCCTCTTATGACAAGCATGTGTTGCTGAAGACCAATTCTAAGCCGGATCGTCACAGGAAAATGTTACTGTAATAATCCAGCGAAACCCTTTCCACATCCGCCCGACACCACTACTCATACCAGAGTCGTTTGTTCGATACTGTCTTTGTGTTTATGAATTACTTTAAACAAGTGGTGATACTATGTGTTCTATAAAATGTGACGTTGTAAAAGTAATGTATTCTGCTGTTTCTGAAAATTGTCAGCATTTCACACTCAACTCAAACTAGTATTAATTATTTTGTGATAGTCTGGTTGTTATACTGTCTTTACTCTGCTGACAGCTTTTTTGAAAGTACACATATATTTATTCTCAGCTTATGACTTTTTGTCGTCAAAATATGGCTGCAATATTGCTGATGTGACTTTCAGGGATTCGATTCTAATCCGGGATTCGAACCCACACCCTCAGCGTCAGGCACCAAAATCGCCAGCACACACACAAAGGTTAAATGGTGAAAGAATTGTATTCGGTATCCCTACTCCCCCACCGAATGGTGTGCGGCTGGCCCAGTCCTGGTTATAGACAAGTGGTCGTCACATATTTAAACCTTGTTATGCTCATTTGTTCTTTTGAATTTGCAGGCAATGAAATCATCTGTTGCCTGATCAAAGACATGGCTATCGACCAAGGGAAGGCCATGGCGGTTCTTATCATACCATTAACATTGTATCTCCTCATTTTCCTGTATAACAACCAAATATGGTATGGAAAAGAAACGAAAAGCAGAACACTTACACAAATGAAGATGACTTGTGAAGTCCAAGGACTGGGCACATCTAAACAAGGCTACCTGCAAGGTTCTCTTGGAAATACTGTTGTCGATGAAGCCAGAGCATCTTCTATGGCTTTGCTTCAAGGTGCCAGAGATGGCAGAGAAAGGGAAGAAGCAAAACGAAGATTTGGGGGATTCCAGTGGGTCAATGACAACGTCACTTTTGTTTATGCCGGATACAATGACAACAAAGATGGACTGCCTGTTGTCCGAGTCATCGCAATGATTCGAAAAGACATCAAGCATAAGTTCACGTGCATGCTTGAATACCACAATGGGAAAACTGTTAGAACAATTGGTGTCCAACAATGCAACAGCTATCCAAGAAATACAAAGAAGAGAATGTAAGTTGAAACTTTAATTCCTCATCAATTTCAGTGACTTTGAGTCATACATAACTGTCTCTAAGGGTGGCAGGACTGTTAAAGGTGCCACGATGCAATATGTCCCGAACAATTTTTTCATTATGATTGGTTTGCTGGTTGGGTTGTTGTTGATACTCAGAAATAGTGAGTGAGTGAGTGAGTTAATATTTAACGTCACATTGGCAATATTGCAGCCATATCGTGACGAGAACATATTTGACATTGAAATGGAATATATGTATATGATAAAAAGCTGTCTACGAAGGACAGTAAAACAACTAGAATATCACAATTACAACTTAAACTAGGGTGGAAATTTAAAACTAAAAGCACTATTTGGACAATACAATATACAAACTTAGTATAGATCGCCAACAACTGAAGGTAGATCACCAAATTAGGGACCATGGGGACTTACATTACTTTTGCTACCTGCATGGACCCTAGCTGGATTTATATCATCCCTTCAGCCGCGGGCGATTGAAGTCAAATTTATCCAAAATTAAAATGACAAGAATACTACATTTAAAACAGCTGGTAAATTTAATTTCCTTTGAATGTTTCGGGACTTACGTACCCTCTCAGGAGGACAATAATTTTACGCTACTTCAACCCCTTTTGAGGGTACAGCCACTAACAATCTCAGTTACTAATCTAAACTACCGATTATAAAATATGTATCTATTTACAAATGAGTTAACAAATCTAATTCTTTTAAAATGCAATAATTAAATGAGAACTAATATCAGTAAAAAGATCCTTCATGGTTCGTGCTTTGAACTAGTTATCCCTTGTGATGGAATATTCAACACAGTCAAGCAAGACATGCTTGACCGTGATTCTTTCATCACAAGGGATACAAAACGGAGGATTCTCACCTTTTAATAGGTACTCATGAGTATACCTTGTGTGGCCAATACGTCGTATGATGACCTCTTCAAATCTGGACTGACAACCCAAGTAGGTGTAACCGATAGTTGGTTTTATTGCATGTAATTTATTGATACCTACTTGGGTGTCCCACTTCTTTTGCATCAGATCACGGATATAAGATCTAATAGCAGCTTTGTAATCAGAGTGTTGGATCACAGGTGGTGTCACAGATTTGTTGAGTGCTGCCTTGGCAGCAAGATCGGCCAATGTGTTCCCAGAAATATCAACGTGGCTGGGTAACCAACAAAAGACGATGTCGCAGGGCCAGTACACACTCAGCAATATTCCAGCTATATGGCGGTGGTCTGTAAATAATCGAGTTTGGACCAGACAATCCAGTGATCAACAGCATGAGCGTCGTAACATATGCAGTATTTGGAATTGCACTTTCTTAATGAAGTACAGTTTCAGGCGCGTAGCAAGCAAATTGTTTCGTGTAAGCCTGATTGAGGTTGCAAAGTTTTATATTTAGGAAGCATTGAGAGCTTGCTCAACTTAAATCAAAGCGTTATCGTTTGACGTTGTAATCTTATCAATATTTCGAAACCATAAGGAGAACTTAGAGTAGTCCACCATTTATTTCAGACAGAATAATCATTTGATTGAAATGTGACTTCCTCATGTGCAAATATGTTTTGACATTGTTTAACGCATGTTTACTGCATTGATACAATACAATACGTCGAGTACTTATTTGGGTATATTTAATGAAATGATAAACACGTGAAAAACATACAACGAATGGCGATTGTAAATACCTACATTTCAGTTATGATTCACATATAATCATGACTGTAACAAAACATTCACATACATGTCGATGGAAAAACAATCATCACTGAAAAAAGACAACTTTCAAATTTATGATATGAAGAATAACATGTTTGCTGTACACCGTGCCTGTTGCTTAAAGCGGCGTAAAACCATACTTATTCTCTCACCCAAATGATTGCAGTACGTTTATGCTGGAAATATTTGTATTCAAGATCCGTTGTCAAAATAGGGGAGGTTTTACCAGTTTTATGTCACATAATTATATTCGTGATTCGATAAGAAAATGTCCGTCAGCATTTCTGGACATTTTTTTAATGCTTGTACATGGATCTTTGTTTTACATAGAATGATAAGTTACAATATGGGGCATTACTACCCTGGCGGGATTATCACTAAAACATGTATTTCTACTTCAGATACTGTAACGGCTATGTGATCTGTCCTCGCCCATTAAGAGCTGGTGAACCCTCTTTTCTCTCCGTGCACAAATACGGGGATATCTCTTCAAGGAACAACATCACCGTGTGGTATCCCAGGAAGAAACAAAACAACATAACAAGATGTTGCAAACCCTTTGGGAACAATTACAGTAATCTGACACAATTAATCTGGAATATTGAGCTTAGCCGTATATTTGGAATTGACAAATTCATCTTCTATCTTTGCTCTCAGTCAAACGATGCTGTGCGAATCCTACAAGAGTATGAAGCTGAAGGTATAGTTGAACTGAGAAACTTTACTTTGCCTGCAAGTCCGATCCAGAATTACACACAGGGATATGTTCATTGGTCTCAAATAAGCACCCTTCATGACTGTCGTCTGTCCCAAATAGGAACGGCCAAATATGTAATTTACCATGATTTTGATGAAATCGTTGTTCCAAGGAAGCATAAGAGTCTTGTTGATCTGGCAGATGAGCTAATGAACAAATCAACTGATGGCCAGGAAGCAACTGGAGCTCTTCTCTTCCGAAACGTGTACTATCCTCTATTCGCAAATAGGACAACAGTCGACTTTCCTCTGAAACAACACGCACTTCGATATGATATCCATCCGCTATTATATGTGACGAGAAAAAAAGCAAGTCGTGTAACAAGGTCACCAAAATCGATGATTATTCCTGATGCGGTGGAAGAAATGAGCGTCCATTACGTCCGACAGTTTAGGCCAGGTTATCAAACCCAGGTAGTGAAACAGTCCTTGGCTAATTTGCATCATTACCGCAACCCGAAACAGGAACACACAACTGATTCTGTTTCCCAGGACCTCTTCCTACACCAGTATGCTCATGTCCTTGCAGGGGCTGTGTTGAACAGATGTCGAAACAAAGCATGCTAAACACAAAATAGCCATCGTATCATATCATGACTTATTTCATCCATGCGCCAAATATGGACATACTAGTATCCACCCTATTTCAATGAGCATATGATCCCAACGTCATTCAATAAATACGTTTACTTATGTTCAAATATAGCAAGCAACAAAATATGCTGTAATACTCACCACCTCGATAAATATGCATCACACTTCGCACTGCACTTGTCCTATAAACAAATACGCCATTAACTGATTGTTAAGGTATTGCTTGAATAAGTTTGAAGTGGGACTTGTTTTCACCGAGTTCAAATTTTGTATTTTTTTATATTTCATGATGAATTAAAAATATATTTAATTACTCTGCACTGCAACTCCCCCATGAATATGAAGGTGATCTAACAATTTGAAAACAGTCCATTCAAATGTGTTAATGTTATGGCTATTTCCTTAGGTTTTTTAGTTAAAGTTGAAAATATGTATACATTCCAATTTAATAAATTAGAGAATCGCACCTCAAACAAGTTGTTTTCCATATTTGAAAACGATTCGACCAGTACTTATAAACCTACTTGGTGAACACACTTTTCTAAGTCCAATTTTTCAAAATGTACAAATTCTTTAAAACCAAGTATCACCTCACTTTCTTTCGACAAAGAATGCAGTCTCAAAATTTGAAAACAATCTGTTTGACTGGCATTTTAAAAGTTAATGAATAACAAGAAAGGCATGGTACTTTATGGATAACAATTTATTTATAATATTAAACACACCAGACGTCCACAAGATGGTTTAACAAGATCCTCCAAGACCCCACCACCAACCGCAAGAAAGATCCCACTGCAAAACTCAACCGCCAACACAAAGCCAGTCTCAAACAACTTTAGGATGAACATGAAATCAGCCCGGAACTATGTTTCAATCTTCCTCTGTGTCTGTTATCTGTTGCTTGTGCAAATTTAGATAGGGGGTTTTATAAGTTGTACGAACTTGTCTCAGATACTAATCACTTTCTGAATAAAACATGTTTAAACAAGCTTACTACATCCACTCTACATCCACAAGACCCCACCCAAGGCCAGACTGCGTGTGCGCTCTAGAGACACAGAGTTCTACAGTACCGTTTAACACGTCACAAAAAAGCCTTGCCCCAACAGGATAAACTAATTCGCTTCTGACCAATCTCCGGAGCATTTTAGCAACATTAGCGCTACGCCAGTCGTACGTCTGTGTTAAGGCATGGGAGTTACGATCACCTTAGCGCTAAGCGCTAAGCGCTTTGTACAACGGCACCCTGATCCATAGATATGATGTAGTGGACCTCATCATTAGTGCCCCTATCGATGAAATCCTCCACCGCGACATCACCGACCTAGACACCCCTCACCAACCTCTCCACTGATTATATTGTCAACCTGACTTCCGTCTGCATCACTTCCACGTACTCTACCTGGGGAGATGCCTACTATGAGCAGATCCAGGTTCTGCCCATGAGTTCCCCTCTGTCCCCAATCCTCACACATATTCACATGACCTCTTTTGAACAGCAAGCACTAAGAATGGTGTCCATCAAACCTATCTGCTGGTACAAGAAAGTCACGATGACACCTTCTTCATCCTACAACAAGATTAAGACCCAGAAATCCTCCTGCAACGTATCAACAAACACACCGTCACGTCCAGTTAACCATAGATAACGACATACAACGCCCAGCTCCCCTTTCTAGATGTCCTCGTGTCCAGAATCCCACTCAGCAAGATCCAAACCAGTGTCTACAGAAAGCCAACCCACTCCGACCAATACATACACTTTGACTCCAACCACCCCCTGAGAACCAAAACTGCCATAATCTCTACCCTCACCAGACGATCTATCAACCTCTTTTCTACCAACCCAATAGCAGAAATCCAGCACTCCGCCATGTTTTCACCCAGTTTAACCACTACCCATCCAAACTAGTTGACAAAATTATCAGCATCACCGGCCGCCAAAACACTCTAACCTGCACGCATCCGAATCTATCTCCCCTTCATACCAAAGACTTCCCAGCACATCAGCCGTTTCTTGAAACAAGTAGGCCGACCTCGAAACCTATTTCACCAGCTCTACGCCATACAAAACCCTACTCCAAGCCAATGGTAGGAAAACCTCTAAACAAGAAACACCCAAAGATGCTGTCGACAAAATCAACTGTGACTGCGGCGAGACTTATGTAGGTGAAACTGTCCGCACCATAAACCCCAGAATCAAAGAACAATTAACTTCGGCCAAAAAATCAGCCCGAAAATCAAGCATCTCAGATCACATCATCAACTGTCCTAATCACACCATTAAGTGGGATAATGTAGAACTATTATCAAAAAACCTCCAACACTTCAAGACAAAAAAACTGGCAGAGCAGTTCAAATCCGACACAAGCCCTCAATTAACAAAGACCAAGGGTATGTCAACCGCCTACAATAAAAACATCAGATCAAAGCTCTCCAGCCATCACTGCTAATTAATCGTGTCTGCTATGTTTGTTCTGCCTCTTCAACAGTTGGCTTCTTCCTATTGTTACTGCGTTATTACCAAAATCCGTTGTTGTTGTTGTTGATCCCTTTGATACATACCTTCATGTTGTCTTACTTAATCCATGGACCCGTGAAGATCCGGGATAGAATTGGTCTTCAGCAACCCATGCTTATGGTAAGAGGCGACTAACGGGATCGGGTGGCCAGGCTCGCTGAATTGGCTGACACGTGTCATCGTATTCCAATTGTGTAGAACAATGAGCATGCTGTTGATCATTGGATTGTCTGGTCCAGACTCGATTATTTACAGACGGCCGGCATTAAGCTGGAATATTGCTGAGTGCGGCGTAAAACTAAACTCATACACTTATGCGAGCTGCACCAGGAGAAGCAGGTTATATCAGGATAATAGTCATCCACTTAATAGTGAGACTGATAGTGACATCTCATAGAAGCCATCCATATGTTGACTTCGTTAGTCCTTTGCGTGACGACTGTCGCTTTAACCAATACGCTACCTCACAGGCATTTTCTGTAATGGAGTGAGTGAGTGAGTTTAGGTTTACGCCAGCTTTAGCAATATTCCAGCAATATCACGGCAGGGGACACCCGAAATGGGCTTCACCATTGTACACATGTGGGGAATCGAACCCCGGTCTTCTTTGATTGAAGAGTACCCGAATATCGCTTGTCGGTAAAAAATATTAAAACAAAACAGAACTTCAAATGTCATTTATTTGTTCAAATAAATTGCATAATACAACTTGCCTGCGTGATAGTTGTTCCATATGAATGTACAAACAGATATTGCTGCCATACGTGGCCACACGACAACCGTTACGTAATAACGGTACACAAATTATTAAATTTGACATTTGTACGTCCAATATCAATATGCTTCATTTAATAATTACTATTAGACATTTCAAAATAAATAATACCAGTTTACAGTCGTGGGTTGACTCGGCGAGATTATATATTATTTGTTTATCACTTTGTGGTAGATAATCCGTAGATTATATTTTAACATGGACACTTATCTTCACTGATTTTATTTTAAAACGAAGATTTCCCAGAATAATGAATAAATCCCAAAGTATAGTTACAGTATCTTTTCCCATTACATGAAGACCAAGCAGTATATTGCCCGTTATAAAGGAAAATACATTACGATACGATACGATACGATACAATATTGGGATGACGGTCTGCTTGCTGTTACCTCGTCAACAAACTCGCCACAGAATCACCAAGAGGTTCCCATCAAGAATCTACGGTAGTTTTAGAAGATCACGGAGGTGGTGTTTGAACACAAGCTTTCACAGATGACGATTATGAACACACCAAAGAGACGGTGTCTTAAGAGCAGGTTGTAGATGTCCTGGCACAGGTCTTGAGACTGTCGTCCCATACAAGTGTAGGTGGGCAGGGGCGGTTGTCGATGAGGTGGCCACCATTGCATGTGACGTACACGTTGCACCCGTTGCAGGATTGGTAGTCGCCAGTGGCGACGCCGTTGCAGGAGCTAACGCAAGGGTTCCTGTGGTAGAATGAGATGTATAAGCATACATTTTCTCGACATGTGTGTAACATTCGTTGACTTACATCGCCAAGAAGTCAGGATTCCAAAAGGGAAGAACTGCTAGGCTCCAGTCTACACAAACTGAATCTTTGAAGGGCATTTAAAAGTGGAATGCATAAGATATACTGATGAAGGAACAAGCATACACTCTGAAACGTCGTGTTATTCACAATAAAGAAGTTGACATCCATAAATTTGGCTTTTCGTATGTACGAACTAGTTCATAGGTTTTGGTGACGCTGTACCCTGCCACTGGACGACTCTGAACACTGCATTTTTTTTATCGACAGATCAAATATATACCAGAAGTGGACTGCATGAAAATGTACGCCAGGAAAAATATACACATCTACCGAACAGTTTATGTACATTCTATCATGCATTAATTGCGCTATTCTACCTGCGCGAATTATCTGTGAAACCAGTTTTAAAAGGTAGAACGTCAGCCTTCCATTGCTGGTATCCACAGGTGTATTCATACTCCCGTCACTGATTCAGGTAACACTCCACTTACTGAATAAGTTATATATGTAGTATATTTTACAGATAGTTTTTTGCTGTCGCTGAATTCAACTTGTTTGTATACAAAAAGCCGAGTAGGAACATTTCGCATCAATCGGCAGTACCAGTCAGTGTGTAAGTCAGCATGCAATATAGTATCGTGCAAGGCTGAAAAGAGGTTCAAGCGTGACGATCCATACCATCGAGATACAATGACTAAGGGGAGCCTTATTGCGTAGATCGATGCTCATGGAGTCAGTCACTGGATTAGATCAATATTGCTGAGTGCGGCGTTAAACAACAGTCAAGCAAACGAGAAAAAATGAGACATTCAGATCGCACATGTAAAGGAACAGGGGCGGATACAGCTTTCTGGAAACGGAGGGGTGCACACTATTGAGAAAAGTGGGGATGCGCACTTTATTTTCACCCGAGTTTCAATGGTCATTTAAGAAACTTTCAGGACAAAAAGGGGAGGAATGGTACGCACCCCTGCACCCCCCGTCTGGATCCGCCTATGAGGAACAACCCTTATTGGGCGTATTCATTATTGTTTTCAAGACCCTCACTTGATAGTGAAGGGAGCTAAGGCGTGGCAATATGCTTTGCAGAGTTGCGTCCCCTGGGATCAAGAAAGAAGCTCATGAATTTTACCCAAATCTCAAAGACCAGCAGCATTTCATGCTTTCCTCCCCCATCAACCTGAGAATACTTTTTAAAACGACAATACACTTACTCACTCACTCACGGAGGACATAGACTCACTCACGGAGGACAGGGGCTCACGCACGCACTCACTCACTCACTGTACTCACGGAGGGCAGGTGGTTGAAGTCATCTCGCAGCGTTTGAGGGTGTCATCCCACACTGTGCCAGCAACGCAGGGTCGGTTGTCGTACATGTAGCCGTTGGAACACGTCGCGTACACGCTGCATCCGTTGCAGGATTGATAGTCTCCGCTGGGACGACCTGTACACGCCGAAAGGCAGGGGTTGGATGCCACTGAAAGGGGGAAGATATCTCAATGATGTGATCACTGCGTTGGTGTCAGATGAGTACATCTGTATTAGTATTTATCTTCGAGGTGGCGTTATAATGAAGGATGGACAACACCATCGTGCGGTTTAAGATATTGTCAACGTTCGGCATCCACATTGTGCTGGACAGGCTCATTAAATACATTGAATCATCTATCATCTATCATCATCATTGATCTCATTTTAATGCAAAATTGCATTGACGCGCATGGGCCTGGGCAGTGAAAAGACGGACTTTTTTACATTTCATGCCGGACGAATTCATCCAAGTAAATGATTCTGCATGGTTGCTGGTCTTCTCAACAAATCGCACAAAACTCAATGTTTGAGTGAGTGAGTATAGTTTTACGCCGCCTTTAGCAATATTCCAGCAATATCACGGCAGGGGACACCAGAAATGAGCATCACTTATTGTACCCATGTGGGGAATAGAAACGGGTTTCGGCGTTACGAGCGGATGCTTTAACCATTAGACCACCCCACCGCCCCTCAATGTTTGAGACTCGAGACTTCATCCCTTCAGAAATCCGAGCTTGTCACTGAACTTGGTTTGCATTCATATTTGTTCTGGCTAGTTTAACAAAACCTGACGTGACACTGAGTCATATTAATCAGGAATCTGGTCCTCTAAACCCGGATCCTGCCACAGCCAAAGGACAGAATGTAGCGTAGACACTAGCAACGCTAACATAATGTGGCTTTTCTTAACCAAAGTGCATTTCCACTCAATATTAATAAAGTACCGGAAACAACAGTGTCTGTAACAGGAATATGTAAGTGTGTATGACTTCATAACTCTATTCAGCAATATGCTGAAACTAAGATGGCCATGTCGAGTATAGTAGAATCAAACCCAGACCTCTGAAATGAGGAGCGGATTCGTTGATCATTTGTCTGCCAGAAACATAATAACAAACATACCGGTAACTGCGAACAGACTGTAGATAACAGCGATGATGAGAACTTGCCTGGAACCCATTCTGAGAAATATTTCTGCAACAAGAAAATGTGTAAAGCATAACATAATGTATATCATAGAAAGCCGATTTTCATTTTGTCATCGGAGAATCATACGAATAGCTAAGCAACAAGTACTCACAAAAAACGAGTTGATTTGTCGACAGAAGAAGTCAGCCATATTTTTCGGATAAAGATTTGGAGTAACTGAAACCATTTTATCCGATCCCTCTCTAAATATTGGGTTACAACTGATCCTTTGTAACCTATTCTGGGAGTGTGATGCGACATGGCTTGAAGTCGTATTAAAGTACCCTGTATGTGTTGGGGTGGCCCAGTGGTCAAAGCGTTTGCTCGTCACACCGAAGATCCGGGTTCGATTCCTCACATGGGTACAATGTCTGAAGCCCATAGCTGGTGTCCCTCGCCGTTATATTGCTGATATATTGCTAACAGCGGCGTAAAACTATATTCACCCATGATGTCAACCACTGAATTGTCTAGCCCATGGTTTTAACACATGCGGTCACATTGCGGGAATATTGCAGAGTACGGCGTTACACACACAAAAATTGAAATATACAAGAAATATGTGAAACGATGCAGCAGCTACTTACGGGTGAATGTGTGTGAAGACGTCGTGGATCAGATCAGTGATGCACCGTTCGATTCTGTATCTGTATTTATACACCCAGACAAACTTATCTTGCAGCCAATAGGATCGTTATTACACACAATAAGCCTGAGGGAGGATGATATCTACATGATACAGTTGGATATTACCCCCCTGGCAGGCCCATAGACTTGAGATCGGCGGGTTACGTCAGGGCAATCAGCAATAGAGGTAACGGATCGCGGATACCTGAGTCTTTGTAAGGAACTTCATATTAGATTCGTGGAACAGACATTCTCTTCGGGTTCACAAAGTTCACAAACCAAAAATATATTATTTCAAAGATTATTACATATGATATATACAAAACTGAAAAAAGGTTTTCATTAGGAACGACAATTTATATATTTAAGCAACACGACGATGTGTTCTTTGACAGAAATTTTGGCAAAACAAAATAAATAAAATAATTCAAAAATTAGATGTAAGGTTTATTTAACGTCATTTAGAACAGAACAGAATTTATTCCGTATTTTAGCAATAGAGTACAATTGTAATTGAAGTTGTTTTGACAGGTCACATGACAATACGACTTCTAGAATTAACGCAAAGCAAACACATGTTTCAAGTTAATAGCAACACTTCACATTGCTTCAATATTTTAGCTTTAGAAGACTAACCATATTTACATTAGCAGGAAGGTATTTTAGGCGTAGGGATTAATATTTTTCACAAACATGTAACACATGAGATTCGTCAGCTATTGCTCCAAGTTTACATGATGTACATATTACATTTGAAGCTTCATCTTCTTTAGATTTACGATAATTGTTATAGTCATGTGAAGAAATTCTAAATTAGAAAAAGCACGTACTAATGATTTATCATGTAATTGTGTTATATGCATTTCAGGTTGAAGGAAAGATTTATTTTCATTATAATGTTTAAGAAATTTCGAATTCTGTACATGCCAGTTATGAAAGAAATTATTGTTTTCCGAAATATACTAGTATATAAACACGACATATATCCAACATCTTGAACAATCCATACAAATGAAAAACCAGTTGAACGGCGGTTAGAAGTGATACACATTAAAGCAAAACGTTTATGGATGTCAAGTTCCTTATATTGAGGAACACGATGTTTCCGAGTATCTTACTTATTTTACTATTGATAGTGAAGGTGACATAGGCGGTTAAGAGAACGCCATTTTCGCAAAAGATAAGCTGAACTAGATATATCTTTCCAGACCAGGACAAATGTTTTTGGAGTTGCAAATATGTTAATGCTTTGCGTTGATAAATATCAGTCAAGTATACTTGTGTGATACACAAGGATATCTGAAAGAACTTCTCCAGAAATATACTTCATGCAAAAACCTGAGATCCAATGATCAACTTTTATTTTCACTCCCCAGGACCAATCTATAACCCTTCGGCCAGAGATCATTCTCACTCTGTGCTCCTTCTCTCTGGAACTGTCTTCCTTTTGATATCAAAACCTCCCCATCTTTAGCTGTCTTCAAGTCCAAACTTAAAACCCATCTCTTCTCCTAGTACTATCCTTTATACCTGCGCTTTGAGCAACCGCAACGGATGGAAAATAGCGCAATATAAATGCACTTATTATTATTATTATTATTAAAAGTCTATAGTACAATAATTATTGTAATTGAAGTTGTTTTGCAACATATTACATGACAGTGTGACTTTTATGATAAACGAAGAAGGCGGTTAAGAGGAGTGACTGGGTCAGTTATCTGAATGTTTGAAAAACAGTTTTTCATTTGGGTATAGGTGTGGCAGGGTGATGCGGCACTGTATGACGTATTGCATTTGCTTGCGAGATGTCATGTTTTAAATTGGTGTTAGAACTGTTCTGTTCCTTGCTCATCAAATATGGTTAACAGAGTCCCTATAAACAAGAACGTAGGAATGTACGCTCATGAAATGTATTCCATCGACGTATTCTTGAAGATAACGGATGAATAAAATATTGTGGCCACGTTTATTATACACAACACATGCTATATTTGGGATTACACTTTCTCAGTAAAGTACAGATTTCAGTACACTTGGGGGTTAGGTCCCATTCGGGATTCGAACCCACACTCGTTACTACGGCTTTACTCTGAGAGAGTGGGTAACTATACTGTAGGAAGATAACCATTTTGTGTACGCAAAGCCAGCAGACTCAAGTACCTGTGTCTTGTAGCCCTCTGATAAGTTACAGATGGGAGTGTGTGCGCGTGCGTGTGTAAGTCAGTGTGTGTATGTTAGTATGGCTGTATTTTTGTGCAACTTCACAAATGAAATGTATAATTTCATTTAACGAGAATGGGGAATCAACTCTCTCAGCAAATCTACGTCTCTACGCGAAGAACAGATCCTAGGTTGGGCCCCACCCGGACTCGAAGCCACACAGCTGTCACGCTAGTGTATCGCCGTTGTGTAAATGACACGTATGAGTGGATAACGGTGAATGATATAGATACGGATAAAGGTATATAACGCCTTAAATGTGGTTTCCTTACACCCTCTGATCGGCACAGTAAGAGATACTGACGCTGTGTTATGTCAGACGTGCATTATCAATATGCCCCAGGTAGGTTTAAGATACTGGAACGTGGCCCGTTGGTTTGTTATACACCATTCTTTAACAATTTTCAATCCGTAATATGTCTCATGGAACGTTTTAAATATATATGAAGATATGTTGATATAATTTAATAACGTTCTGCTAAGGTCCTTCTTTGATATGAAACCTTCTAACAAATTATATAATTATATAAGTGATAAAACCCAAGGACATCCGTAAGAAGTCTCTGCTTAAACCTGGGGAGATTATACCCACATATTATGAGCATGTGTTTGTTTCCGTGTTTGACGTCTTACTCAGTAATATGACAGTATGATAGCGGTCTGTGTGAGTGAGTGAGTTTAGTTTTACGCCGCACTCAGCAATATTCCAGCTAAAAGGCGGCGGTCTGTAAATAATCGAGTCTGGACCAGACATTCCAGTGATCAACAGCATGAGCATAGATCTGCGCAATTGTGAACCGATGACATGTGTCAACCAACTCAACGAACCTGACCATCCGATCCCGTTAGTCGCCTTTTGTGTCAAGCATGGGTTGATGAAGACCTATTTTACCCCGGATCTTCACGGGTCAATAGCGGTCTGTAAATAATGGAATTTGGACCATGCCATGCAGTGACTGACATAATGCGATACGACGACAGAGCATGCGTTTATGAATCACTATAATAGAGTGATGCTACCCGGTGGTCGCGAGAAGGTGGGTGTAACCTGCCCCACCACAGGTGTCTACGACTTCTGAATATAGCTGATCATCTTCATAAACATGAGTTCTCGTCACGATATGGCTGAAATATTGCCGATGTGACGTTAAATATTAACTCACTCACTCACTCACTCATAAACATGATAACACATGCGTCGCATTGACCGGTTCCGTTATTTCTGTATGTCAGTATATTGTTTGATTTCGGCCTGAATGAATTGCAGTAAGGCCATGCCAAATTCCACACATGCGTCTGAAACAAAAATTGCGTTAAAGTAAATGATAACACTGTTTGTTTTGATGACTACATGATTAAGATAGCATAGTACTAAGTCCCTGGGCGGGGAAGCACATATCAGATCCACCCTCAGGCTAGGGTAACTGTCCCGGGGCCGTTACATTGGGCAGGACGCCAGGTGATAGAGCAATGTACAGCAGCATATCTCCATGCCTTGTCAGCACAGTGTAAACCATCTATCAGATCACCATGGCCCCTACAAACTATTTGTTTCTTTCGCACAGACGTTTTGCATATGGTTCAACAGGGTCGATGTTTATGATGGCGAACTGAATTCCCACAGTTTCATCATAGCTGCCCTTTTCATATTGCATTGTTTTCTGCAGTGATACATTTTATTATAGCATTCAGGGTCTCCTTTCACAAAGCACTAAGGTGATCGTAAGTCACTAAGGTAACCTTAGTGCAATGTTAAAGAATGGGAGTTAAGGTTAACCTTAGTAAAGGATGCTTCGTGAAAGGAGCCCCTGGTTATCAAATCAATGATTTTTCTGTTGTTTAACTGTCCTTTAAGGGCAGGTTTTTATGGTATAGATTTATTCAGGTTTGATGTATAAATTATTCTCGGTACCGTTGAGATATTGCAGATGTGACATTAGATATTAACTCACCTCACTCACTCATGCACCCTCTCACTCATCACAGGCTTAGAATGTATTTATACGTGCTCTTCTAGAGAAGTTGAATGCATAAGAAAAGCAAGATTTATGGATGTCAACATCTGTATTGTGAATAACACAGCGTTAACGTTTCGGGTTGTATGCTTGCTCCTTCATCAGGACCTCTTAAGCATTCCAGAGATTC